TATACATACATACATATATATTGACTTGATTAAGAGGTGCAACCTGTTTGTTTGTTTCTTTTCTTTTCTTGAATCTCTCTCCCTTTCTCTTTTTTGTTACTTTTTCTATTATCTTTTCATATCTTTAAAGATTTATATTCAGTTTATTCCTTATGAAACTGAAAGGATGCCATTCCTTTTGCTAAATAAAATTTCCAATATTAGTCTTACTTTGAGCAAATAGTTTATACTTTTCTCTGCCAGTGTTTTTTTATAGAAATTAACAAAATTATATAAATTAATCATGTAAGTATATGTTCATCACAAAATCTGGAATTAGGCTCACTTTCATGTTTCTTTTTAATCTTTTTTCTTCCTTTTCTTTCTTTACATCTGACTTATACCAAGATTTTTTTTTCTTTACAAAGGGTAAGTGACGAATATATGATTCAAACATAAGATATACTAGTATATATCTTATATGTCGTGATATCTAGGAGCTTATCATATATTATTAAAATCTTTACCAATTAAGTAAATTGGAACCTCTAAAATTATATGAAGGACTTGTCTATATTTCAGATATCTCGGAGTTTTTCTTTTTTATTTTTCTTCTACTATGACTTACAAAATTATATCAATGATATGTAGATTTTTATCCAAAGAATGCCACTCACAAGAATTTAATTGCCTTCATATAAAGTGCACTAACAGTTATCTACTTCAAACTTCTAGATGGGATAAGAAAATTTTAAGATAATAAACAATAGAGCGCAAGGGTTTATGTTCAAATCATCTTCACTTAAGCTGCAAAATTATAAACAAGAAAAAGGAATTAGTAATCGTTTTGGAAATTAAAAATAATCTTGAAGAAAACGAAACAGTTTATAACAATCCCAAAATTAAATCAATCAATTAACGGATCGAAACAATTGGAATATCTAATCGACTTAAAAAAGCAAAGTAAATGTGTTAAATCTTGATTATTATTAATTTTTCACTATAATCTCTACCATGTAGTTCTTACCAACACTTACTTGTCCTTAGACCTCATGCCACAATAAACTATTAAATTCTATCCAATTCTCTCGGTTCATATGTCTAGTTTTCCTGTATCCTAGTAGAAATTGCATTCTGCAATCATACGTTCAATTATTAAGATGTACTGTAGACTTTTCATGGAGACAGTGACACACAATAAAATATGATAAATGGAGAGAGGCAGTTGCAATGACTCAAATTATATTAAAAAAATATTGGTATATTATTAAAAGAATAGATTCTTGAAGGAAAAAAAAAACATCCTTTGAGTGTTGCATTCAATGACAATGCAGTGATTTTGAAACAAAGCTGTCCCAAGTGTTCGATAATAAATGAGATAAAAGTTGACGAGAAAAGAAGAGAAGAGGTTTTGAAATCAAAGTGTTCCAAATGTTCCTTACACATGCATGACTGAGTTCCAAGTGTTCGATAATAAATGAGATAAAAGTTGACGAGAAAAGAAGAGAAAGAGGTTTTGAAATCAAAGTGCAAAAGCCGTCAGTTCATTAATGAGTCGTCCTTCAACATTGAATTATTGGGAATCTCCTTCCGCAATGAGTTGTCCTTCAACGTTAGCTAGCTAGCTATGAACACCAATCAGTCCGCATTTACCTTTTCACCGTCTCCAGACTTGCAAGTCTTCCGAGCAAGTCAGATTGGTTGTGACATCTTAAACTTCATAATAATCTTAATCGTAGCAACAACAGTAACAATGAGTGACATCAGAAGAGTATGTATATTGCAAGCAGTCTGTGAGTTGAGAAAGAGAGATCGTATAAGACTTTATGCTGAGTTATAATTAACTCAAATGTACTTATAATTAATCTTAATTTCCTCTGTGGCATAAGAAATCAGTATCAAACCACATAAATTTTTTATCAATTTTTCTTTTTTTGATTCAAAGTCATTCTCTTCGCTTACCAGAATAAAATGATCCCCAACTCTTCTTGATTGTGTATATAGCCACTTGTGTTGTTTATCAACACCATAGCTAGATCACAAAATTATAAAGCTAGTTGGAACGCAACATCAAATAACAAATATTTATAGTTCAAAATAGTTAACAACTTGGTTTAATTATTAGTCCTTCCTCGTACAACACTACCAAAAGAAAATGATCGATGGGTAGGATAAATAATATACTGAAAGTGGTGACGATTGAGGCAGTGATGACAACAATAATAGGATATGTATGATCGATGAGTAGGATAAAAAACATACTGAAAGCGACAGACGATTGAGACAGCCACGACAACAATACATCACGATAAATAATATATTGGTAGCCTAGTGGTGTAGCTGGTGATGCTTATAGGACAATCGTGTGGGACAATGATGATAATACTACTGTTGATGATGAGAGTGATAATGATAATGGTGATGACACCTATGATTGTGTTAGTAATATTTGTGATGGTAATAGCAATGATTATAGAAGTAAATATATCTCAAGACACAGTGACCAGAGGATAATAAGACTTCAATAAATCATAGAGAATGATAAGCAGAAAAAACACTTACCCGAAAATTATATTTTCACCAAAAGACTTCAATAAACTATAGTCATAAGATTGAGATCGGGCATCCCATTTTAAGGATCAATATCTTAAATAATTTTCCAAAGTGATGAAGAAGGGATTGGATTGACTACAATCTTAGACAGACGAACTTGTGCTTCTATAAACTTAAACTTAGGAGACATATTGGTTGTTTACTAGTAGTTCTTAGTCAGACGGGTTCTCAAGATTGAATTGCTTCACCAAATCATATTGATCAAACACATCTGTTTAAGAATCTGGATTCACCACCCAAGCTTCCTCTGACATGTAATCTAGTTTATACGAGGCAAGTGGATACGCAGGCCGGAGACGTTGCACTTGGACGAATTAATCGTTTAAGGCTTCCGTATAACATTGCCAAGTGGGTGTTGATTACACTGCACCTTCTCTTGTCTCCCAGCAGCTGTTCTTGAGCTGGTCGAGTCATGTTTGCCAAGCCGTCCAACTCGTGATCACGTGTTCCAACCTGCAGTCTGTCATCCTCTGCACATCTATAAACGATGCCCCGTTCTGTCCAATCTTTATCCTCCAGCCAAAGCTTCAGCAGAACCAGTCATGTGCCTTCCTCTCTTGGATCCCTTTATTCACCCAGCCTTCCGTGATGTCTTTGAAACAATGCCATTTTGTGACAAGCTTACCTTCCTGGTAATGATCGACGACCGACACCCATGAAGCTCCATCTCTAACTAGCTAATCTTGTGCTCATCGAGAGAGACCGTTCCTCTCCTTGTCTTGCAGTACGTTCATTCCTTGGACAGGCTAAAGCTGTGGCATAAGTTGCCGGTGTTCCTAGGGTTGACGTACCTGCAGCAACGTCGAACTCTGCATGAGAAGTACAGCCTCCTCAACGTGGGAATGCCCGATACGACTCCGTTCAACCCCGACGACTACGCCTACAGAACCGACGACGGGGAGTACAATGACCCGGAGAACAGTAAGGCTGGGAGCCAGAACACCTTCTTCGGGAGGAACATGCCACCCATGGAACAGAATAACCATGTGAGTGTTTCCCTACACTCGGTGCCAAAACCTGCCGTTGTGAGATTGATGTGGATGTGTTTGTGCAGCTCTTGAGCCCCGATCCAGCGGTCGTGGCGACCAAACTTCTAGCTCGGAGGACGTACAAAGACACAGGCAAACAGTTCAACCTGATCGCAGCTTCATGGATACAGTTCATGGTGCACGACTGGATGGATCACCTGGAGGATACTGAGCAGGTACAAGCAGGAGTTGCTTCACTGCTCAACCAAATCAAAGCTGAGAAACATAGTTTGTTTGTTTCTTTTCTTTTCTTGAATCTCTCTCCCTTTCTCTTTTTGTTTTTTCCTCATATCTTTAAAGATTTATATTCAGTTTATTCCTTAAGAAAATGAAAGGATGCCATTCCTTTTGCTAAATAAAATTATCAAGATCAGTCTTACTTTAAGCAAATAGTTTGTACATTTTTCTGCCAATGTTTTTTTTATAGAAATTAACAAAATTATATAGATTAATCATGTAAGTATATGTTCATCATAATATGTGGAATTAGGCTTTCACTTTCATGGTTTTCTTTTCTTTTATCTTTCTTTCTTTACATGTGATTTATACTGAGAACTTTTTATTTTTCTTTACAAAGGGTAAGTGATGAATATATGATTCGAACATAGGAGGAGCTTATGATATACTATCAAAATCGTTACCAATTAAGTAAATTAAAACCTCTAAAATTATATCAAGGACTTGTATATGTGTCATGATATCTCTGAGTTTTTTTTTTCTTTTTATTTTTCTTCTACTATGACTTACAAAATTATCTCAATGATATGTATATTTTTAGCAAAAGGATGCCACTCCTTTTGCTAAATACTTTGAGCAAATGATTTATATTTTTCTTTGCCAATTTTTTTCTTAAAAATTAATAAAATTACATAGATTAATCCTGTAAGTAGTATATGTTCTTGCACAATATTTGGAATTAGGCTTTCACTTTCATATTTTTCTTTCTTTCTATCTTTATTTTTAACTTTGTTTTCTTTCTTTCTTTCTTTACATGTGACTTATATCAAGGATTTCTTTTTTTTTTTGTGCAAAAGGTAAGTCGCGAAGGTGGAATTCAAACACTGAACCTTACGAGATACTATCAAGTCTTTACCAACTAAGCTAACTGGCACCTTCAAAATTATATCAATGACTCGTATATGTGTCGTAAAATTTTATTTTCCTTTTTACTATGGCTTACAAAATTATATCAATGATATGTAATAAATATCATGGCAAAATCCAATGGCTAATAGGAAACTGTGTTTTGGAGTCCAAAAGAAAAAGGAAACTTAGATCTTCTACCATACAACATATCCATTTCTACGTCCATCACACTTGAAACGGTTATCATATTTGGTTGAATATAATTGACTCTCTTCAATCTTTGAGTAAGATAAGATTAATTCTTAGCTCATCTCATACTCTATACATAAATAGCATGCATGCATATGTCAATTTGTTCACAAAGCAAAGTTTATGATGGAAAAAATGGAAAAAAACATGATTGGAAGAACCTTTGATTTCTTTGCTGTTGGCCATGCGAATTATTCATTCAGTAAACGCACCTGACATGCCTGCACACAGGTAGTACTCCATGCTCCTCCGCTGGTCGCTCATGAATGCCCGCTGAAGTCATTCAGGTTCTACAGCACAAAGGAGGTGCCCACAGGTGGTGAAGCCATTGAGACAGGCCACCTAAACATCCAGACTTCTTGGTGGTATGTACTCCCGTGCGATCGAATTGCTATGTGCGTGATCTGAGTAGTGTAACGCACCATATGACATTGTCATCTAATCAACTGCAGATAAGCTTCAATTCGCTGATTCATAGGGTTTCTTAATTGGCCTCTACCAAAATATATTGGACTACACGAGAGGTCACTGATAGGGTGATCCAGTTTCTCATTCTCTTATCTTCATCAGTTTGATCGAAGAAGCACACAAAGGAAAAGAATGAAAAGGAAATCACAACTTATATCACCCTAAACCTTTTCCTTTGAACGTAGAAATTGCAAATGAATCAAAAGCAGCAGTCCGTAATGCATACTCATCCAATTATATTCTTGTATTTGTTACTTATAGAACTCCTATAATGGAATGTCTGTAGGGATGGAAGTGCTATATATGGAAGTGAAGGAAAAAAGGAGGCAAAGGTGAGGACGCATGTCGATGGAAAATTGAAGATAGGGGACAATGGTCTTCTTCAACACGAGGTTAATGGAATCGCAATATCCGGCGACATTCGAAATAGCTGGGCTGGAGTTTCTGCTTTGCAAGCTCTCTTTGTCAAGGAACACAACGCTGTTTGCGATGCCCTAAAGGCTAGTAAAGCATTTCTCCAAGTTCATCCTTTTGTTGCATGTCTTTGAGGGCGAGCCTTGACATCACGGTAAGATTACTTGTTTACCATGCATGTTTGTCCTTCAGGAGGAAGATCGTGATCTTAACGACGAAGCGTTGTTTCGGCACGCAAGACTTGTAACATCTGCAGTCATTGCGAAAATTCACACCATTGATTGGACGGTGGAGCTCCTTAAAACTCATACCATGAATGCTGCCATGCATACCAACTGGTAGGGAGGGATTAATACTAAACCATATGCTCACTGAGACATCCACTTCTCTACTATGTAATTGATTGGTTTCTTCTCTTTTCTGCAGGTATGGCTTGTTGGGGAAGAAGATTAAAGACACCTTTGGGCACATAGGAGGACCTGCTCTTGGAGGACTAGTTGGACTTAAGAAACCTAATAACCATGGAGTTCCCTACTCCTTGACCGATGAGTTCACTAGTGTTTACAGAATGCACTCGCTCCTTCCAGATTCTCTTAAGCTTAGGAACATCAATACCAATCCTGGACCAAATAAATCTCCCGAATACCTCAAAGAGTATCTCTCTCTCTCTCTACTCTCTCTCTCTCTCTCTCTCTCTCTCTCTAGGTGGCAAGCATGCATGAAGGAATCTATGTGTCATCCTTAGAATAAATATAGGTGGCACCATTAGGTTAGCTAGTGACACATGTTCACAATTATTTTTTTTCTAAACCTAATATGAATCTTTCATAAATCATATCATATTTCTCATGTTTACATTTAGCTCGCTACATTAAAAATAGACCCTTACAAAATTTAAAAAAATGAGAGATGTTACACTCTCCTCTCCTTGAAAGAAAAAATTAGTCCTCTAAATTTGTCATACCTCCTTCGACGAAAAGTTGAGATCAAGATTCACTTGGATTGATGCCATCAACATTATTGAGTCTTGCTCGTTCCTTATAATATTCAAATTAAAATTTTCTTCTATGTATACATATATGTATACATATATATATATATACATATATATATATACATATATATATATATATACATATACATATATATATACATATATATATATATATACATATACATATATATATATATATATATACATATACATATATATATATATATACATATACATATATATATATATATATATATATATATATATATATACATATATATATATATA